TCAACACCATAGAAAACAGTGCCTGACAGGGCCGGATGCAGCCATAACCTGTGCATTCCTCAGCTTGTTCCACCATCGAGTAGTTGTTTCTCCGAGATACATGTTTGGTAGGATATATTAACTTCCAGTCCTAAAACCTGGGCGAGATCCAGCTCATTTCATTGCCTGAGGGTGATGCAGAAGCTCCTCGTGGTCTGGGCTTTACAGTAAAGTTGAAAGTTAGAAAATGTGTGCTCTAGGAGTAGGGTGAGTTTACTGATTTTTTTTTAAATCTATGAGCATGTATAAGAAATTAGAGAAATTATAAATGAGCTACGTTATACTCATACAGCTAAAGTAGAACTGAAAGGCTGCATGCTTATCCCATGAAAAAAAAATTGTAATTTCCATCGAAAAATAAAAATTGAACTCTATTACTTCTTTATTTGAGAAATGTTTTTGGCCAATCCATGGCCTAGGAACACAGTATTTTAGTACAATCCAACCATAAATTTATTCTGTCTTCCAGAATAAAATGTATGAGTTTTGATGGATTTGTAAATTTTTGTTCTCTTCTGTATGTCATAGTAGAATTTGACATATACACATTTGATACATACACGTACACACACACACACTCACACACACGCCCCCCCCCCCCCATACATGAATTTTCCCTTTCTGTCTACGTTCTTTAGACTTCTCTCACTTTCCCAGTTCTACCAGCTCGGAGGATGAGTGAACATATGCTTCTCCATATGCCCCGCAGACTCCTCAGTGCATTCATTACTCAGAGCTTGGGGACTGAGGAATGTTTGTACTATTTTATTTTTCCCCATAGTGATTCATTCTACTGTACATTTCAGAATCTGTGATAAGTTGAAAGATCCAAGAATTGAGGTGCATTTCAGTGAACAGCGTTCCATCTGTTAAAAGAGGGATTTTATTAATAACCAGGTATTCAGATAAATTAAAATGAAGTGGCATTCAATTATTATTTTTTTATTATCAGTTACATTTTATTAACTCTGTATCCCAGCTGTATCCCACTCCTTCATTCCCTCCCAAGCCCTCCCTCCCTCAGCTTCTCCCTGCCCCTTTCCAAGTCCACTGATTGGGACTCCTCCTCCCCTTGCATCTGACCCTGTTTTATCAGGTATCTTCAGGACTGGCTGCAAAGTCCTCCTCTGTGGCCTAGCAGGGCTGCTCCTCCCTTGTAGGGGTGGGGAGGTCAAAGAGCCTGCCATTGAGTTCCTGTCAGAAATAGTCCCTGTTCCCCTTCCTATGGGAAACCAATTGGTTACTGAGCTACCACGGGCTATATCCGAGCAGAGGTTCTAGGTTATATCCATATATGGTCCTTGGTGGAGTGTCAGTCTCAGAAAAGACCCCTGTGCCCAGATATATTTGGTCCTTGTGGAGTTCCTATCCTTTCCATGTCATACTAACTCCTTCTTCCTTCATATGGTTCCCTGCACTCTGCTGCAGGTTTGGTTATAAGTCTTAGTATCTGCTTTGATACACTGCTAGGTAGAGTCTTTCAGGGGCCCTCTGTGGTAGGCTCCTGTCCTGTTACTTGTCTTCTCTTATGTCCAATGCAATTATTTTTTTATGACCAAGGGACTCAGCTAAATTCATCTCCAATCAGTTTCATTTTTTTTTTTTTACTCTACAAACACAAGAGAAAACTCTTCTGTTTTAAACTCTTCAACAGATACAGAATCCCACTTTGAAGTCAGCTCCCCACCATGATCTTGCTCCTGTCATCTTCCAGCTGTCTGTCCAAGACCCTCTCTATGTATTCTAGTAAAACAGCCTTTGGCTGTGTCATTACCGCAAACGCAATATGTAGATAAGAAAGATTTGCAATCGGAGGACACTTGCAGCCCATTCCCACCCAGCTGCTCTTCATCTATCCGCCCCTGCAGGGCCTCTCCCAACACAGAAGCCAAGGTTCAGGAAGGCCTTGATGTCTTTTGGAACCTTTTAGAAACTCTGCTAAGAGCCAACACAGTGAGTGGCAAGTGACTCAGAAGTCACAGCCTCGACTTCTCTAGTCTGAGAATTAAGTTGCTTGGCTCTTCTTCATCAGCCACCCATGGCAGGAATTTCCCTCCCTACCGTTGCCCCAGTGCCCAAGGAAATGGTCTTGCTTCCAGTTGTCAGATCATCATAAGGGAGCTTGAATTGGATCAAAGTAGAGTGGAGAACTTTGTGTATCATGAAGTTGTGAAATGTTTCTGATGCCAAGCTAGAAGATGCTTTAAATGTTTTTATTTGTATTGTCGATCCTTCTCTCTCTTTGCTCTCTTTTGCTGTAAATTCAATTTTTTTCCTTTGTCTATGCGTTTGCATGCTAAGAAATCAAATCAGTCAATCAGCAAAGTCAGCTAACATTTGCAAGATGCAGTGGTAGAAGCTTTGGGTAATATAAAACTACTATCCTCAAGACACTTGAGTCTAGACGCAGAGATAAAATTTTAGTTGATGAAATAATAAGTGCTGAAATGTGTAAGCGTGTCCTAAATTATTTAATGTAGAGGCCACTCTGAAGAGAAACACTCAGTGAAGAGTTTCCAGGGAAAGTGGACTATTTCTACAAGTTAAGGGTGCTGTCTTAGAGTTACTGTTGCTGTGATGAGGCACCACAACAAGAGCCAACTGGGAAGAAAAGAGTTGATTTGGCTTATGCTTCTACATCATAGTTTTTCATCCAAGGAAGTTAGAACAGAAACTCAAGCCAGGCAGGATCCTGGAGGGATGCTGCTTACTCCCTTGCTCCTCCTGGCCTGCTCAGCCTGCTCTCTTACATAACCCATAAGCTCTATCCCAGGGTTGTGACACCACCTACAGTGGGTTGGACCCTCCCACAACAATCAGTAAGAAGATCCCTACAGGCTTACCTACAGCCCGGTTTTATGGAGACAGTTTCTCCTTTGAATCTTTCTCCTTACAGGTGACTCAGCTTGCCTCAAGTTGACTAAAACTAGCCAGGATAAATGGGTAGGATCAATGTAAATGTGAAGAGTCATACAGAGTTTTCTGGATGCGTGGTGTGAGGGAACTAGCAGTCAGGTTCTGGGTGAAGGCCTTCATCCAGGTTAGTAACATGCAAATTCTTCCATTTTCATGGCCAAAGAGCTCTAATCCTATTCATGACATTTCCACCTCCTGGCCCCACATTCTCCTGAAGGGACCTCATCTTCAGATGATTCCCCATTGTAATTAAAGTGTAAACATTTGAATTTGGGAGCAACACAAATATTTCCCCCATTGTTGGCAGCATGTCAAGGCCAATGTTGGATGGGTGCAAATACCCAGAGGCATGAAAGGCAATGTGAAGCATTTCTGTTTCTGCCACTGTAACTGAGAAAGCCCAGCCTGCAACAGTGGCTGCCATGTTGGGGTGCAGACAATTCAACTGGCCTGCCCTCGGGAGCCTTCAGGGTCCTAGCAGCGTCCTCTATCACCACCTGTGTTTTATGTTATCACCTGCACCAGGTGCACAGGGCATAACCTGCCTGCTACCCTGTTCCTTCTCTCTCTCTCTCTCTGGCTCTCTTTGGGTTTCTCTCTCTATGACTTTCTCTCCTGGCCACCACCCACCCATTCCCCCTTTCTCGCTTCTCCTATTCTCCCCCACTGTCTCTCTCTCTCCCTTTGTATGAGATCTGTAGCATGGCTTATAAATTATATGGTATTACATTGGTGCCGTGACCTTGTTAGGGCACAGGTTCCAGTAGCCCACCTCCACAGTCTATGAAGAGAGAAAGCTCAAGAACTGGAGCCAAATGTGATGCTTCATACTTGTAATCCCATTATCTGGGATCTCAAGGCAGGAGGATTGCCTTGAGTTTGGGGCAAGACTGGGTTGTACTGTGACTTTGAGTTCTGGGCTAGCCTGAGCTTGAGAATGAGAAACCAGCATAATTTTCAGATTGATAGTTATGCGCATTTTCTCATGCTGCTGCTTCAGACCTGGGAAGCAAGGTTTTAAAAGCCAGAGGTCAGCAGTCTCCCTGTTGGTTAGCTGGTGGCCACCCACTTGCGGGAATCATTGCTAAATGGTGCAGCAAACTATTCTCTCCGCCATTGCTGTGTGTGCTCCTCATACATTCGAGCTTGCACACCATCCAGATCACACCTTTTCCTCCCTATATGCCACTTATTTCCACAGCCCTTGTGGCCACCACCACAGGGTGGGTCTGTTCCTTGTGTTTGTTGTTATTGTAAGTTCATCTCTCTTATTATAACCTTTAGGTGATCCAAATTGGGAGATTTTACAAGGAAAAGTTGAACAATGTTATTAATAATTCCTGCTTTCTGATTTAGTGCTGATATACTAGTAAATGAAAGTAGTTCTCTGGGGAAGCTGATTTTCTGCTCAAAACTGATGACAGATTAGAAAGCAGAAGCCTGTTTATCTTGGAATTATTTCTCTTTGATGACACTACTTAAGTAGGTCACAGGGTGAGTAATAGCATTAATTCTGATAATTGCATGTTGATTTAAGAATTTTCTTATTATTAAATAATTAGATTGTGGCTGACACTTCACATAGATTTTGAATTCCTTTAGTTTTACCAACAATTTCAGTATAAAGCAAAGTTCCAAGTATTCAAAAGCTCACTGGAACATCTTTCCCCAAATAAGAAGCTAATAATACATAGCAGCCATTATGCATCTATTGAGTAAACACATGAAGACATTCAAAATAAATGCATAAGTGGTTTTCTTTTCTCCAAGAAACAAAAAGAGAAAGAGTTCTGTAAAATATAGACATGGTTATTTTGTGTCAGTTTTGCGTTTGGCAGGCTACCAAGCGTTAATTTGCTTTTAGCTAGTTGAGACTAGATGTAATTTCTTCCTGGAGCAACCCTACAGTAAGCAGCATGAACGTGCTTTCAGAGTGGTCTGGGAGAAATTGACGTTTAAAGGGTTGGCGTTACATGTGGACTTTAAGGCTATTAATTTCATAGACAGATTACCTTCATTACTCTGTCTTATCTTGTATGTGAAAGGCCGCCGTCAGCTGGAGGGCTGACCACCCAGGGTTTGTCGAAACTGCTCTTGTCCCAGCCGTGCTGTAAACAGAACCTGCTTCTAGAGACCCTGCTTCATGGAGGCGGCCTCATTCCAAGAATCCTGTTGAAAAGTTCAGGTGAGTTTGTCATTTCAAGACTGTCCTAAACACAAAACAAAAGAAACAGACAAAACCAAGCACAACACATTCATTGCCAGATTTACTGGGGCTTTTGTCCTACCTGAGTTTTGCCTGACGGGTGGAAAGCAAATGCATAAGCTGGCAGTCTTGGGCGGTCATAGCAGAGGAACTGCTGAACTGCTTTATCAACCTGATCTGTTTCTTTCAGGAATTCTAAGTAAAAGAATATTTTTGCATGATGCTGTTGAGTCACAGTGCCACTATTTAGAAGGTGTCAACATTCAGGGGTGGAAATGCCTAAGAGAACTGGAAGAAGGTGGTTATATTTTAAAATTGCAAACCCTAATTAGATAATAAATAAGTAGAAATTATATTAGATCAGCACTTGAAATTTTAGTCTACCTTGAAGAGTGCTTCAAGACAGCAAGCCAACACCTGTGGCTGACAATCATTTTTACTTACAACATGAAGTAAAGTTCAAGAAAATTGTAAGTGAAAATTGAGGAGTAAGAAACCATGCATCTCTTAGTTAAAATTTCTTCCCTGCCAAGACTATTTTAGAAAATGGCAAGGACAGTGGTTCAGAGCACTGGCTGCTTGGAGAGGACCAGGGTTCAATTCCCAGCACCCACATCGCAGCTCACAACTCCAAGATCTGACACTGACAAGCCTGCAGGCAAAATACCATTGCACATAAAATAAAAATAAATAAATTCTGCAGAGCCGGAGAGATCGCTTCGTGGCTGAGAAAATGGCTGGGGTACTGCATGACTCCAGATCCGCGCCACAGCCGCCGAGGGAGCGCGCTCACCACTGCACTCAGCGGGCAGATTCCTCTCTATCCCCTCCCTGGAATCCAGAGTAGTTAACTTTCCTAAACAGAACTCCTTTTTCTCTCACTCTGGACCATATGCAGGAGCACATCCAAGTTCTTATGCCACTGAAACTGGACTAGTTTGCTGACCTTTTGATTTACCACCCCCACCCAAACATTCCCTTACATGTACCACAAACCCATCAAACCCTTTCCACTCTTTGTGTCCAAAGCTTCATATATGTGCTCCCTCTGTACCTTGCCTCACTGCATTTTCTTATCTAGAGGCCCCGAAATAACTCTGCTTTTGTCAGTCTGCAAGAGTCTGATATGTATGTATGTATGTGTATATATGTCATACACATCATATATGTATTATATTTGTATTATATATTATATAAAACATATAGCCTATATTGTAGACGCACATGTGCGTACATGTGTGAGTGTGTGTACATATCTGTATATGTATATAAGAATATCTTACAGACTGTGGTCTAGCTAGGATAACAGTAGCAATTGATGAATGGAACGTCCAAGAATTCAGTAGTTGTTCAGTCCACAAGGATGGATATGCTAGATTCCCAAGAAGTAGGCTCTAAGCCAGTGAGGAAATGGACTTTCTAGCAAGGGGAGAGCAGGTAGACAAAGAGAGGCTAAGGTTCCTTCTTCCATTTCCTTTATATAGGCTGACAGCAGGAAGTTGTGGCCCAGAGTAAGGGTGGATCTTCCCACCCTGAAGGTCTGGATTGGACATCCCTCTTCATATGATTTAATTAAGAAAAACATCCCTCATAGCCACATGGGTCTTAGTTCATTCCAGATGTAATCAAGTCAACAGCCAAGGATAGCCATCACTTCTAGCAAGCACTGGACAGCAGCTGCTAAGATCAGTTTCCCAAATCCATCTTCTATCTACCTTCCCTAAAGCCACATGGGGAGGTGCCTCTCAGGAGAATATTGACTGTTCCTTAGGAATCTCCAAACAGGCTTTTATGTACATAAATCCACTGCTGTAGGTTTCCTGTTGTTAAAAGGATGTTAGAAAACAAAAGTTGATGAAATAATATGGATTTATTTACAGTTTGGCCAAATGTGTAGAGAGAGGTAGAGGCTTTTATCCACTCCATGCCTGTGGCCATGTTGTAATTTATAGGAAAGCTGAGGCAAAGGCTAAAACAGATAGACATTTACCTACAGGATGGTTAAGCAGTACTTTCCTCTAGGAAGGAGAGGATCTGGCTCTCAGGTTGCCACAGACTCCCAAACAGAGCAGACTTCATTGAAGTCTGGTTCAAGAAAAATAGAAGGTTAAAAATCCCCCCTCCTGCTGTTTGAAAATAAACGTTCTGAGTGTACTTCTTTTGTCTTGAAGTGTATTCCACTGGCACTGTTAGAAATAAGTGTGTAATTCTTTTTTCTCTAAGTGTACTGCATTGACACTTAAAAATAAAGGTGATGTCGTTGATTCACTTTGACTTTAGTTTTGTGCAGGGTGATAAATATGGATCTATTTGCATTTTCTACATGTAGACATCCAGTTAGACCATTTGTTGAAGATACTTTTTTTCCATTATATGGTTTTGGGTTCTTTGTCAAAAATCAGGTATTGGTAAGTATGTGGGTTTATTTATGTGTCTTCTATTAGATTCCATGGATTCTCCCAGTCTGTTTCTATGCCAGTACCATGCAGTTTTTATTACTGTTGCTCTATAGTACAGCTTGAGATCAGGGATGGAGATACCTCCAAATGATCTCTTATTGTACAGGATTGTTTTACCAATTCTGGATTTTTTGTTTTTCCATATGAAATTGAGAATTGGTCTTTCAATTTCTGGAAAGAATTGTGTTGGCATTTTGATGGGAATTGCATTGAATCTGTAGATTGCTTTTGGCAGGATGACCATTTTCACTATGTTAATCCTACCATTCCATAAGCATAGGAAATCTTTCCATCTTCTGATATTATCTTCAATTTTCCTTCCTCAGAGACTTGCAGGGTATCCAAGCAGATGCTGAGACTCATAGCCAAACTTTGGGCAGAGTGCAGGGAATCTTATGAAAGAAGGGGGAGATAGAAAGACCTGGAGGGGACAGGCGCTCCAAAAGGAGAACAAGAGAGCCCCCCCAAAAAAATCTGGGCCCTGGGGGTCCTTCAGAGACTGATGAATCAACCAAGGACCATGCATGGGGAGGATCTAAACCCCCTGCTCAGATGTAGCCCATGGGCAGCTCAATCTCCATGTGGGTTTTATTTTAGTAAGGGGAACATGGGCTGTCTCTGACATGGACTCAGTGGCTGGCTCTTTGATCACCTGCTCCTGGCGAGATGGCCTAACTAGGCCCCAGAGAAAGAGGATCCAGACAATCCTGATGAGACCTGATAGGCTACAGTCAGATAGAAGGGGAGGAGGACCTCCCCTGTCAGTGGACTAGGGGAGTGCCATAGGGGTTGATGAGGGAGCTACAGCAGGGATACAAAGTGAATAAATTGTAATAAATAAATAAGAAAGAAAGAAAGAAAGAAAGAAAGAAAGAAAGAAAGAAAGAAAGAAAGAAAGAAAGAAAGAAAAAGAAAGAAGGGAAGTGTGTGTTGCAAAGAAAAAGACTACCACGTTGAAGTCTGCTTTAACTTTTTGCATAATTATAATGCCTCTGTTGAGACCTACTGTAGTTTTTAGCATAACTGTAGCTCCTCTGTTGACACCTGATTTCTTCTTTAGCATAACTGAAGCCATTTTTTCTTTAGTCTCCATTTTGATCATAAGCTGAAATGTAGTTAAGTTTTCAGGCTTTGCCTACATGACATAAAAAAATAGCTTTTTTCTTACAATTCAATACTTGTTGAGTGTTCTTCTTTAGTTAAAGATAAATGTATGTTCTGTTGGAGTTAAACCACAATACCCCATTTTATTCCTTTATCATGGAAAAGATAGGGAACTGGAAAACCCCCAAGCTCCCAGCCAAGCAGCTTAAAATGCTTTGTCTAGCCTACCTGGGCACAATTTACCTAGAATAGAATTAATTCTTCTACTTGGCTATGGGTGTTTTTGTTTGTTTTGTTTTTGTTTAAAAAGAAAAACTCACTCTGAGAAAGGCTCAGGGTCATGAGGGTTATTGAATTCAGACTGTGTCCCTTACCAGTCAGTCTTTGCTAAGCATTCAATAAACTTCCATCTCTCTGCATGTGGTGTCAGAGTAGTCAGTGTGAGGCTATTCCTGAACCCCAACACACCACTCGAATTGAACTATCTGATTTTATTCTAAATCAGTTGGTGACTGTGTTTTCCCCATTAGCTTGGCTCCAATCTCATTTAATCAGTGCATTGAGTTGGGGAACCTGAAATGAAGGAGGAAGGGAAAAAGAGGCCCTGCTCTTACCATTAAATTCCTGGAATGCAGTGAAGGGCTTGACAAAGATTTTACATTTCAGGATTGAGTTTAAAACATTTGTGTTGAGAGACTAAAGAATTAGAAATCAGTGGCTATTGTTTTAAAGTTTAAAGCACAAGCCTGAACTAAGGCCAGCCAGGTGAAGACATGTCCAGCCCCCTGCAGGGAAGAACTAGCCTCAATGCCCTGAGGGAAAGAACTAGCTTTATTGCCCACTAGAGATACAGTTGCTAGGAAAAGGGCCCCTCTCCCCTAGGAAGGGACACCAGTCCATTAATGGTTTTGGGGGCCTTCCTATAGCCAATCAATTCAAAGGGCAACATCCCCTTTTGTGTTTCGACCAATAGATGCTTGCCAGGCAGGAATGCCCCTGCTTTGGGCATGATGGGAGGGCCTGGACTCTTTAAATCACCCAACTAACCTGAGCAGGAGGCTCTCAGTTCTCACTGATTTGGCGGTGAGGGTGTGTGAACACGAGCTGTAACTTGTAATAAAAAGATCCTCATGTGTTTTACAATGGACTCGACTCCTGGTAGTGGTCTTTTGAGGTCTTGCGAATCAGGCACAACAGTGTAAAAGTCTTCGCAGGTGAAGAAGATAGAAAGATTTGAATTCTTCATCCTAATAGAGGTTTTATAGTATCTGTCAGAAAAGACCCATGTTCCATATTTTTTTATATCATGGATGTCAGCTTTAGCTCACCTAACACTGTTGTCATTGGCTATGATTGCAGTAATGACAGTTGCACAGCAGGGCTCTGGTTAATCAATGTTCTCTTAATTGAATTTGA